TTGGGAAATAAATGCCATTCCTTATTAACAAGTATCTTCGTTACGATTGAAAACCCAACTTTCTTATAATGATCTCCTATTTTTGATCAAAGATCCAGTCGCGCAGAAATACAGAACAAGAGAGCTACCTGGTGGTGGAACTGGGAGTTAGTAGTAGTATTGTTTCATATTTTTGAAAAGTTCTGTCTTTTAATTTAAAACTTTGCTTTTCTGTTGTTTTTCAATTTCCTTTTTGCATTTGCATGTATAATTAACATCTTTCCATTTTGTTCCATTGTCACAGGAGGACCAAGAAAAGGTGAGAGACGTGCTTACAAATCATGTTTATCGTCCAAAATCGTGATAAATATATAACTGACTAACGGCCTCGCTGAGTTACTCCTCATTTCTGCCAGAAAAATTCGACCGTTTTTTCGAATGTTTACACGAAAATCGCGAACTTGTCTCGTGGGGCGAGACAACTCGTTTGAGCGAGCAAGTCGGCAGGGTAAGTCGGCAGGGTAAGTCGGCAGGGTAAGTGGGCAGGGTAAGTCGGCAGGGTAATCTTGACAAGCGGGACGAATTTTTCTCAAATGACTACTTTTTCTCCCTAACCCGAGATGTGATTATTATTTCAATAGAAATAAATGAATGGAGGATAGGTAAATGAAACGATCTAAAAATTATTTTCTTCGATCCTCCATTTTATCCGATATGCACCCTGCCAAGCTAGCCGAGAGAGACTGTTTTACTTGAGGAGACAGTCGTTAGAACTCAAAACTCCATATAGACCTTCTGCAAAATCGTGTCGAGGTTGTGGGTGGGGGAGGGGGTGTTTCTTTAGGTACCGGATTCCAATTAAACAGGGCCTTAGAGAAAAGGGGTGCTGCGTCGGTGAGAAAGTATAAACGAGGTAATTTGGTATGATCAGAGTTTCGAAGTTTACGTTTCGAGCGTTAGCCCTTCGTTGTCCATTTTCTCTGACGAAGGGCTAACGCTCGAAACGTTAGCTTTGAAACGCTTTATCTCTACGGTGGCAAATTTACGTTACCAATGCAGTTGATAATACCAAATTACGTACCAAGCACCGATGAACATCTTTTTTTTAACGTATAAATCCGCTTTCTAGGAGACATGTGGTCGGAGATTGATCAGGAGGCGAGGACAGCAGTCGAGAGAGCTCTTCATGATAATCGTAAGTAGTAAGGGCCACAACAGTTATGCATTGCATCCATAAATACTGTTTCTTTAACCGGTTTGTAACACTTTGTGATGCATTCATTTATATCCATCTCGTTGTTTATCCATCCAAATCTATCTATTGACTCACTTATGTTCAAATAAAACATTTGTTTACCTGTTTATTCATTCATTCATTCGTTTGCTTTTTGCTTGTTTGTTTGTTTGCCTGAGTATCACAGTGCTGGGAGATTACACAACTTCCCTAAAACGCAGTTCTGACGAAGGCCTAACACTCGAAAAGTCAGCTTTGAAACTTTTAACGGTGGCCAATTTACGTTATCAACTCAGTTGATAGTACCATATCACTTTATCATACTCCTCCACCGACGCGGCACCACATTCTCTTTGGAAAAAACTCCTTCACTCCCTAAAACACAGTTGTTTTTATAGTTCCCTATAGTGATCGTGAAACCAAAACTATTTGGGAAGAGGTTATTGATCGCATGATGCCTTGAACATGTGAAATGTGTAGACAGTGGCCAAACAAAGGTATCTGATCATCATTCTGCTATAATTCATATTTAGTCTTGTACATTTGAATTTTTTTTGTCGATTCCCTTCTCGCCAGAAATACTCATGCTTTCGCTGCTACAAGTATCAATCCTGGCAAATCCCAAATGATTGTCAGTCTTCAAAATTGATTGTAAAACAAGTCCCGTCTTACTCTCACACTATTGTTCATCGTCACCATTCTCTCCTTTTTGTCGCGAAAGTTTTCCTCCATCTTCTATAAAAGAAGTTGAGAAACGCCAACCATTGATCTTGATACAAAAGATGTCTGAACAAGAAATTTCTCATGAGCAGCAAAAAAGTTGTGTATTTTTCTAATCAAATATCATTGAAGACATACATATATTGATATATAGGACATAAACTAATACTTTTTACCTTTTTATTATTGACGACAGGAAGAAAGTTGAGGAAACATGTTGCTGCATTACTTAGATAGAATACAAGTACTTATATATTCCATTTTCAGAAGTTTCATGTGCATTGATCAATCGACTAATTGCATTGTATACGTCCTTTGCAAAATAAACTTTATTCACAAATTTATCTAAAAACTTCTTGGTGTTTAAACTGACGTTAAACATGGTTTTTAGATAATTTTCACATTACAGTGTTCCAAGAAGAAACCGAAAAAGCCTCTTCATTTACCCTCAGCACCTATAATTCTTGTTTCTTTTGCAAGCAAATTTCTTTCCCACTCGTTTGAGCGCAATTCTACGCTCGTTCATATATCATGCGTATAAAAACTGGCCTGATTTTTTGAGGCCAACGGTCTTTTATGATTACGAACCGACGTAAAATATCCAATATTTGGAAAGATTTACTTATTAAAAGAGGCGTAAATTAGTTCATATTACAAGCAATGACTTCATTCTGAATACAGGAGCGTTTCTTTGGAAATATACAATCAAATTCTCAACACGAACCCCGTCTGCCTTCTATTCATTAAATCTGGGCATGAATTAATTGCAATGTGCTCACATGAAACACCTGTACGCTTCACAAGCGTTAATAAAAAAAATTTAAAAAATACAGTACCGAATTAACCGTCAATATAATGTATTGCGACATTTAGTATACCACCGCTACCTGATTCACATATGTCGTATGTCAGTGAATCCCGGTTGAAAATCAACGGTAACACAAATTGTAGACAGACTAAATTTTAATGGTTTTAGTTGTTCTTCCAGCAAGGTCTTCCCTGTAACTTCCTGTTTTCATCTTGTGGCAACATTTTATCACCTGAGAATTATCTGGTATGACCCCTCATGTTAATAACCCAAGATTCTATTTGCACAGGAATATTGAACGGAAATACGAGAGAATTACTTATCCAGGCTTAGATAAACATAAGAAAGACCAGGCTACGGTGCTTTTAACACACAGCCGAAGTAGTGTTGGGTTTTACAACAACTTTTGAGTCTCTTATAAATGAAGACACTTAGATTTGACCATTGCGTTGCTCCTTTCTTTTGTAAAACTAATCATTCTGACAGAATGCACAATTGCCGGAAATGAAACCAAACGAGGAAGTCTTAAAGCAGATCGAGAAATTGGAAAATTTCAAATCAAACTACGAGAAAAGTAAACCAGCTCGTGATAACTTGGAAACTAATTATAAAACGCGCAGAAAAGTGGACACTTTTATTGTGGGTCTAAATTTGTACTTGCGCCCAGGTAAATATTGAGGATTTCGCAATCGGTTCTCGATTAAGGATTTAAGATTTGATACCAATATATTTAATTGAGAAAAGGCACTGCAAGGCTTCAAAGATAACCAGGAGACACACATGCAGAAACATAACAATACATACATGCTGATAAGTCTAAATGCATGCCTTTTTAACTGAAACGAAGACAACTTAAGTGATCGATGTATTTCAAATGTTCTCAATTAAACAAAAGCCAAAGTAGAAACTTATAATAATATTTACCCGTTTCATTTGTTTTCGTTATTGAACTGGCTAATGCAAGATTTCTTCTTAAACAATTAATAAAAATAGAATAAACGAATAAAAATCATCTTTAATTTGCTTTCGATGTGGAACAGCAAAAATTTCTCAGCGTGAAAATGTTTGCCATTCATCGAACCTGTGATCCAACCATTCATTTAAATTTTTCCTATCCTAACAGGATGGTATTATCTTAATATATATTTTGTGAGTTTTCTTTGTTCAAAAATTCATATTTGCGCTAAGAAAACAGTCATTTCCGCAAGGTAATTTTAGAAATTTTGCAATTTCGGATTTCTGAGTTCCATTTTCCTGTTTAACAAAACGCCACATGCTAGACAATATCTAATTTTTTTCTGCTAGAAAAATATTTGTTTTTAAACAAGCAACTGTCTTCACTCCGGTGTTTCCGAAAGAAGAAAAAATGCCACAAATCCATTAGGCGCATATATCTGATTGATTTCAAACATCAGTTTTGTTTTCTAAACCTCGCATAGAGTTGCCCCATTCCCAGATATTTATCACTTTGTTTGGATACTTCTCCCGCTTATTTTCAGTCCGAAAACTGTATAAAACTGGGTAGTTGTGTTAGTTAAAAACAATTCAATCGTAAAAATAAAAATTTCGCGTTTCCCTCCCCAACAAACACTTCCATTATCTTTGGCCAACAAACTAGGCAAGAAAGTCAATATTTGAGCAACTAATTTAGCTAAGAAGCACGGTCGAATACACAGGTTAAATGCAAGTGTGCACAAATCGGTATCATTGTGAGTCGTGCAATACCTTGAGTGGAACGGCTCTGAGAGTAGCCCTCTCTGAATTTGCCATTTCGGTAAGTATCTTTTAAACTTGTTCTTAATACATTTTCATTCTTGAAATATTTATGTTGGACGCTCTTAGCGTAATAATATCTAATATCGAATAATGTAAATGTTTCAGTGAAACCTGGATTTCTTTTTTAGGGCTTCTTCTTGCAGTTTATCTCCGAGGACCATTTTTTTACTTGAAATGTTATAGAGGTTACAAAAAAATACATCTAGTGCGTTAATATAAGTCCCAGTAAACAGTTTTCGAGCTGGACTCAGCAAACGAAAACAAAGAACGTTCTCGCAGTCTCGGAAGTGAATAATTACCGCGCTCAGGGTTTCAAACATAAAACGTGTGACAAATCTTTTCTCCCCAGAGATATCGAAAACATGACGAAAGCAAACATGAGACTCGACCTGCTTTTGATGGTGTCTTGCGTTCTTTTGGTGTTTTCAATGGTCCTTGGTGAGTTCAGCGATGAGCCGAAAATATATTCAGTGGAGTTCGGATATTTCATGTAAAAGGATTTCGTCATGATTTAAAAGGAATAATATTCAGTTTTTATAAACAGAAATATCGAATTTTGTTCTTTTCATTGCATCTTGCGTTGCATATAAGTAAAGAAAAATTATAAGGAACGCCGGACGTAATTGCCTTTACTTTATTACCTGACCGAAACAACTGGTTATTAAACGTAAAGACTTCACCTTTAAAACTCAAGGTTAACCCTTTAACGCCAAGGGGTGACCGGCATCTAATTTCTCCTTACAGTAACATGATCGAATCGAACATTAGGGTCACGAGAATAACCCAAATTAAGAAGCTCTTGATAGTTGAACAAGTTCTCCATATCAATACCATAAGAAATATAAGGGAACAGTATGGAGCCTGTGAATACTGATGTGAGGGTGTAAAGCTAAGGTACAGGGTCAAAATGTGTTTTTCTCATACAGCTGATGAAGCAAAATTTGAAGACAAAGCCGAGAGTAAAGATATTAATGGTAACTTTTTATATTGCTATTTCATCTTTTTTTTTTGTATCTTTTTAGGTATGTTTTTACCAACATAGAGGTTACCTTATTTTTTGCAACACTCACAAAGAAATTTCTTGCACATTTTGTTACAAGAATATTTGATAATTTAAGTCCAACAATTTTATCACAGATTCTGAGACATTAGTTCTGACATCAGTTGGAATTTTCAAATTATGGTGTAAAAAATATCACGGTGGAAATATTTTTGTTCCCATGTTTGAGTACCGTTCAACTATAGCAAGCATGGGCACTCTTTTTGCCACCTCGTCAGCGGATGAAAAGAAACAGGATATGAGTGGTGTCGGATGAATTTATCTTATTTTATAACAAGTCCATTAAGGAAACGTGTAAAACATCGTCAAGGCAAGAAATCATGGCCTTGGAGCGATGACGACAGTAACTCATTCAAACTCACTCTTATTATAATAATTCCGAATCCTCCGCTGAGAAAATTAAACATTTTAAGGGAAAACTTGTCAAAGTGTGAATACCGACTCTGTACCAGTTCCTATAGCAGTAGCTGCCTTTTGCTAAGCGTATTCTACCCTGACACATCATTAAGCTGATACAAAACTTCTAAGAATATGCGTTTGTCCTCAATTAGTCTACAACGGTGAGTTCAGTAGCAATAGTGATGTATCTTTCATTTTAGTTCAATACCAAATTGTGTTATTTTAATGTTCTCTTTGTTTCCCACTTCATGACAAGATGAACGCTTATGGCCATGGCAAAGGGACGTCAAAGACGAACAAGGTATCTTAGAATATTGTTTTTGAAAGCTTCATTTATAAAATTCTGCGTAGCTATCGTTAAATTGCCTTTTCGCTTGGTCCTTCCTTCAAGTTTTCTTTAATTTGTGACACTGAAAAAGATGCCGCCGGTAGTCTTGTTTCTGTCGTTGTGGTTTCAGAGATGTAGTATATTCTTTATTGTGATTGTATTTATAAGTATTGTAACTGCTGCTATTCCTGATGATGAGGATGGCATACTTGCTCACTTACTTTATAATTTGTTATCAACACTTTCTTTCATTTCTATACTAGTAACAGATAAGCGAATTTGGCCATGGCAAGGTTCAAATGATGCGAAAAAAGGTATGTATCAGTACTAGTAAAGGTTCCAGATGTAGTTTTCAGCGGACGATACTACGGTTCAAGAGTTACTGCAATGGCTGTCTTCTTGAGGTAATTTACGTTTTGACATTATAAGCATAAACGAGCGCCTGATAACGTATTACATGTTATTAGCTGTTCATGAAGTCTCACTATGTTTTCCTGCAAAATAGATGAGAGAGTTTGGCCATGGCAAAGAGACGCAGCTAAAAAAGATGCAACGGGTAATGCTCTTAAGATTATCATCTACAATTAGCCTAGAAAGGAGTGTTCAGTAGCGCAATAGAAATGTATCTTTTGTTTCAGTTTACAGCTGCTTTGTGATTTTTCAACGTTTTTTTTTTCTTTTTCTCATTGTATGATAAGATGAGCGGTTTTGGCCATGGCAAAGGGATGACAAAAAAGGTATCTGCAGATATTGTTTTTTAAAGCTTCACCACGACAATTGCAAAAATTTATCGTTAAATGGCTTTTTACTTTCGTCCCTTATTCAAATTTTCTTTGCTTTTTCTCGAAACAGATGATCGACTTTGGCCCTGGAAAAGCGACACAGAAAAAGAAACCGCGGGTAATCTTCATAAGATCATTATTTATCTTTATAGCTATTGATAATTTTTGCTGAAAATAAAAGGATAAAGTGATTAATGTACATTCTCTACAGGCGAGTAAGACGAAGACGACGATTCCAGGGGTTCGACGTGAACATGTTAAAGGTACAACTTTAAGCGTTTTTGAGACAATAATAATAGTGTGAACCGTTTGTCAAAGTTGATCGCAAAGTGTACCCTTACTCATACTCAATTCCATTGCAAGTTCTACAAGAAATTTCATGAAATACTAGCAACGAGAAGGTTTAAACTACAACAAGCTACCTCAAGATATCGTCAACTATATTAGTCTGTAATTTTCTTTTGAACTCCGTGCTCTAGATAAGTACCTTTTTTCCACACTGGGTGTGTCTATCCTCTCATCGGCGAGAGGAGTACATGCACTTACTGTAAAAATAACTCTTCTTGAACAGAGGATGACTGGAAATATATATTTACTCAATTCTTAATCTTGGTTAACCTTTGCTGTTGTTATCACTGTTTTTTTTGTTTCAGAGCAATGTGACGTAGAACCACCGGGTGGATTGTAGAGATAAACTAGAAGCAACTTGAGAAAAATAGAAACTAGAAACGAAGCAAAAACGTTTAATAAAAGTCAAAGTGGCGTTAACGCTTATACTGTTGTTCCACACAGATTCACACAGATTCATTTAGCACTCGTCTAAACAGTAAATAGAGAAAGTTGATAGTCTTTTGGGTAAGGAACCAGTCACTAATCGGTCCCTAAGGGGGAGGGGGTTTGGGAGATCGCATATTTGTCAGGGGGGAAAGGTGGGGGGCATCAGTCATCGCTAACAGGGTATAAAGGAGGGATCATAGAGAAATGACTGTCAATAGGGAGGAGTCATTAGTTTTTTTTTTTTTAGATATAACGAGTTCCTTATCGATAAATGGGGATACAAAAACGTTTCTTTCTTCGGTTGCTTAGGGTTTACCAATGTCAAAACTACACTCTTGCACATGAGAGAGTTACATCCCTTGTAATTTTCGAGAGTTGAGAAATGACTCGATATCGAAGGATGGAACACACTCTAACACTTTGCACTCGCATCCAAACTCTGAAGGCCCAGCAGGTACCCTGCGACTTTTCATCTCATATCCTGGCATGCAGTCAACGTAGTCAATGTATCTATGACACAATGGCTCGCACAGAAATCCGACAAAGTATTCAGACACGTAACAGGTGCACTGGTAGTTGCATTTGTCATCTGGAACCATGACTTGTCCTTCATCATAGCGGTGGTCCAAATATTGACACCGACCTGTGGTTAGAAGAGAGAGCCAGGTCACGAGTCAATTTTACAGGAATTTTTGTAGGGAAAATCTGCTTTTTGTTTAATCCCACAATAGCCATTCTCCTCCTCCTTCTCCTCCGCCTTCTCGTCATGTATCCAAAAAGTTCATTCTCCATCCTTTCTTTCTCTCTTTCTCCTCTTTCCACTCCTCTCAAATCGAGATTCCTTTTTGGTCAATAGTCCTAAGCTATGTGAGTTGGCTACGTATGCTTAATATCTCTACCTGCCCCCTAACTACAGCGCCACGTGTCCTTCCCTCCCCGCAACACCAATCCTTCCGTCCTGTACGTCCAACCTCACCTCCTTACAGGTGAGATACCAAAGTCGAGTTCTCTCAAGGCACCCTTTCGCTTACGCTGTTCTCATAGCTCTCTGGTCCGTTTCTCACTCACGATATCTTCCTTTGACGTTCGTTTCATATCTCCCCCTCCTACCCCCCTCCCTGCTCAACCTTTGTGACAGTAGGAACTTTTTTCACTGAGCAAATTTCATTCTATCTCTAACATATATTTTTTGTCGCGCAGTTTCTTTTTAAGTGTAACTTGGTGGTAAAATGATAATTTTTCGCAGTATGTCTACAATCAAGTCCGAGAGATATAATCTTCTCCTAACCGACAATTTTCAGCCAGTTATTGTAATGCGTTCATACTCTTTATACCTGCATTCCTCGTTAGTTCGAGCGAAGGGCGCGCAAGGAAAAGTTACAAAGATTGCGTAAATGTCCAGAAAAATATTGTCTTCATTAACAAAGCTTACTTTTCAGAGCTCTCTTTCAAAAAACAAATGTCCCATAACCCATGACCTCAAGCTATACATGCAAAAGTTCATGTTCCCTGGCATTTTGTCCTTATCTGTTAATTTATATCCCGTCAGTACGCCACATGAATGATATTTCCGGTTATTTGGCTTAATAGCATACTTTTGAGAGTAATAACTTCAGATTTTCTGGATCAGTTGTACCGATGAAGTACATATGTATGCTGCGATATATTTCGTCTATACTAAGTTTTCCAATTCCTAAAAGGTGACGCATAGTTAATTTTATTCCTTTCGCAAATTGTTACAGAGGAATTCCTGAATTATCGCAGTAAAATCCTGAAGCGTTTTCACTCGTTTAGCTATGTGGAGATACATAGCGTGCCGAAGTTATTTCATCGGATTCCAGATTCTCCTATTTATAATGAGAGGGAACCGCACGTTCTCTGCGCTGTCGGAGTCACGCTATACAGACCCCCGTATAATCCGTTTACGAAAAGATAACAGGGATCAACGAGATACGTCACAAATCCTATTTTCACTGTTTATAACATAAGCTATTGAGATTAAAGGGATTTCCATGCGAGAATTGTAGCCCCGCCGTATGACTTATCAGGGCTCGAGATCTGACCTCTCTTTTGAGACGTTAACTATCGTCAATGGCGGTGGATAAAGTACAACTTGGCAATTTGAGGATTCGGTTTTTTAGTTTATTTTTGAACGACTTCAACGGCTTCAAAACTTTTTAAGAGGATCTCAATGGGGTTAACCGTTAGCTGTAAAGCGACCAAAACATTGAGCCATTAGCCGTAAAAATTTGGGAACTTTTAACCGTTAGTGGTAGAAAAAGTTAACCGTAAAAAAATTTCTGGTTACAGCAGTGGAAAGATATTTACCGATAGCCGCAAATTGGCAAAAATTTTAGCCGTTAGCCGCAAAAACCATCATCCCATTGAGAACTTAAAGAAGCTTCTTTTAATTGAGTGCCCAGCCTTTACCTTGCCCAAAGGATAAATAAACGTGTAACTTAATTCTACTGCGTTAACATAAAAGTCCACCCCGGTTGAATAAGGTCAGTCGAGAGAAGGTAATGAATTGAGTCTGTGTTTAAATTCCAGCGATGGAATCAATGAAATGGGTCTACCTTTACCTACTAAGGACGAAATCTGTGACAAAGTAACACAAACTCAAAGCAACGGAGCTACGAATCAACTTGACCGTCATTTATTTGCGTATACAATGCATATGCCTTCGGCTAATTAATAGTGGTGTCCCAACGCTTAAAATAAGCTACCAAATAACAAGACTTTGTTTATTTGCTACTATCGTTTTCTTTTCTTTTCCAAATCATATCAGCCGAGAGAAATATAAAGGCTGGAACGAAATTTGCCTAGAACTATTGACCTCACCTGATGCCTCGTCAAAACTGTTCTCCATAATCATTCCTCTGAACTTCGGATGGAGAAGGTATTTTGATTCCGTCTGGCAGAAAGATAAACCCAGAGCCAAAAAAAGGATTGTACGCTTAAAAACCATTTTAGCTGCACTTTGCTGAATTGTCTTCGTGAAATGAATGCAATCAACTTTCCGGATTAAGTAGCAATGCGTTTCACATCAAAACGCGGTTTTCCTGCTTTGTAAATAAGCCTTGTAAGGCGTGTGATTATAAGCAATTTCCCAGATTCCATACGCCTCCGTTGCCGTGTTATCTAAAGGCCCTCTTCTGACTGTCCTAATTATTCATAAATCACACAACAGTCAAAGCAGGTCAAGGAGATATTGACAGTGAAGAATTGCTTAGGGATTTTGAAGGCGTGTTATATGTACCTAAGGCAAATTTGAAATTCCAGATGTCGATCAGAGGTTAAAAAGTATGTGTTTAAGCTTTATCAAATTCTATCATAATATCAGTACGTGGTTTGCAGTGGATGTGCACTGTTAAAAACAGTCGCTCTATTACCATTGCAGACGGTTCTAAAAATATAGACAAGGCCGGTATAGATTGGAAACGAAGCCTGTTTGAAATAAAAGCAATTAAAGAAAAAATAGGGGTTCTTTAACGCGTCATTGATCAAGAGATAAAAACTAACGTAAGCAAAATTGTTGTCGCATTTTGCCTGCTTCACAGTACGTATTTCCTGTTTGCTTAATAACCCTCTTTCCTTTCCACGACCATATAAGGCTGAAATACTTTTGAACAAGTTCAAATGCTTTGTTTAATCTTAGTAATGTTATTCCATCGTTAAATACACAAACAGAATATGTGAAAGTACATGGTATGAGTTTAATTTAGTACAGTTACATAAAAAAGTGACCAAACGGGAACACAGCTCTGAACAGATTTAAACATGTAACAATAATAAGCCCTGACAGAAGTATAAATTCATCTTAAGTTGGCCAAAACCCGTTTTTTTTTTCTCAGCAGCAAAAAAGAGGCAATCCATAACAAAATCCGTAGCCTTTTTAAGTAACAACCGATTGACTCTCAAACTCAAAACATCGGCTGCATTGGCTGGCAGGGTGGCCTGGCCCTACCCTACCTTGGGTTGCCTTATGAACGATGTTTGCCCAGCTCTGATCATTTAGTAACCGCAGAAACGCATGATATGTTAATCTTTACAAGCCAGTGAAAGCTCAGCCTTGAAAGAGCTGTTGGGCCATTTCTAGAACAGGATTTGAAGTAGAGTCTGACAAAGACAAACCTTGAACTGCAGTAATGTTAGATCTTTCCGTTTTATTATTATTATTATTATTTTTTAATTATTTTTTTACCCAATATCACATGACCAGTTTTCCATATTTGGATTGTACACGAGATTGAAGTTTACAGAATGGAAAAGCGCTCTCCTGATCTTGCCTTCACTTTTTTCTGGACTGGGTTTATACATTACAGATAACATCGGTATATAAGTGAACGAGGGCAAGCCTATAGTCTGTAAATGATAATGGAGCTGACTTCCTGCCACCGACCTCAAGTGAAATCAAGGAAATGAAGGTTTTGAGGGGTTCGGTCGCGGGATCTTCGATTGTTTCCGTCTGGACGGGTACCATGCATTTTTGTAGCATGAGCTCGCCAGGTGTTGAGTGTACATAAGAGAGGATATCCTACCTTGGTCAAAGGGGATCTTCCAATAGAGAATGGCAGACAATCTTTCCATAGATTCCGGGTCGCAACAGCAGGGCTCTGCCAGGAGTGATCTTGCTGCGATCAAACAGAAATCCTGAGGATTCACCGAAAGCGGAAACCTATGGCAGCTATAATGAAATACCAGCCGAGCTTTTTATGGTATTCATAGACTCCAGTTTACCACGCTTTCCTACAAGGTACTCTAAACGATAGTTCTGTTGAGAGAGACGTGACGAAGCCCTTTGATGGTTTGAATTTGTAGCCTTTATCTCGGAGACAAGATTTTGGATGCAGGAATGAAGATGTTAGCAAAAACTATTCCTGTCACACGAGACGGAATGTCGCGACTCCCTGCACCATCGACTTATAAGCCACCGCAAATTGTCGCCTTATGTGTTTTAAGCTAAAATTTAGGGTAAAAAAAAAAAAAAAAAACCAACATTGACATCTGGCTTAAAGAAGGGATTACAACACTTCCCTTCATAAAAATTTAATTCTGTGAGATGTGTCAATAACTGGAATTTCTCCTTTAAAACAGACTGCGTATTTCCTGTATAAATTCACAATGGTTTTTTCTTTCGTTTCGTTTCACTCTGATAACCTTTGAACAAAAAGTAAGAGACTTAAGTTAAAAGAAGCAAAGATATCCTGAAAGATTAAAGTTGTTTTTCCTTTTTTATCGCATTGGATAAGATCATATTTGAAACATTTTTACGTAATTTTTTTTTCGTGCCCATATTTGCATTTCAAAAGACTTCTAAATGTAGCCGGCCATTGTTCTAAAAGTGCCAAGTCTGCGTCTGTCAACGTCAAGCGATAAGTTCGCACGTAATTGTTGACCGTCTATAATCAAGCTGATGACATTTCCAGAAATTGATAAACTGTGTTCTTGTGGTGATTTTGACAACAAATATGTAGAAATTTTCCAAAAATAAAAAGAAAAAAAACACACACACACACGTACGGTCGACTGATACACTTGAAATGGCAAAACATCTTTTAAGAATGAAAATTCAAATATTTAATTTTACGAAAGCGGAAAAATACCGAAAGCGCATAAGTTAGATAAATGAAAATCCCTAGATTCAGTAGATTTATGAGAATTCAAAGCTTCCTTCACGGAATAAAGGCACTTAATTAATTACCTCCTTAGGCGTAGTTCCATGTTATTGGCCTTTTCATTGTTCGCGTTAATTTGCGTCCGGCAGTTGCTTTTTTATTATCGTTTCTACCAAGATCTCTTTTATCGAAAACTTTGTGTACATATATTCAGAACAACAAATTTGCGTCAGTAAGCTCATTTATAATAACTAATAGCACGAAAATATACAAAAACATGCCAGTTATTTCAAAACATTCATTGTACTGTTTAAGTTGCGCCGAGAGTTCGTTTAGTTGCAGTCTGACAGAATTTTAAAAGCGCTTTCACTGGTATCTCTTCGGTTGGTAAGTTAAAACTTTGACCATGACATTTTCTTTATGGTAATTATCTTGCTATTGTAGGAAATCCCTACTTTAATCAACTTTTCTCTTTTTCTTCTATATTTCCCATTGCAAGTTAGCTAATTTTTCGTACATTAATTCGCAATTAGCCAAACCCATGAACATGTCACAAATGACAAAAAAAACATAAAAAATCCCCAAAACGACATCAAGAACAGTTCAGAACTTTAAAAGCCTCAGCCATTCACGAATTTTCATTCTCTTTATTTTTATGGCCATATTTCCGCATCGTTTTAAAAGCTCTTATCTCAAATTTGACACCAAGTACCTGAATGCAACAAAGCACTTTTACTAATATTTATTGGACGAAAAAACACATCAAGACAAAGCTTATCTCTGCGTTCGTCCCTGAACGATTTCATCATCAAGTATCTTTTTATCCTGGTTTTCAACTTAGGATTACTTCAGACTCCACTAATATTTTTCAGGTTGGTTGTTTCATCGGTAATTTCATGTCTTAGGGTTTGGATTATTTTTTATATTTCATTTGTTTTTTATTTTTTTTTTTTTTCGCTTCTAAAATTTCGTGCATGTAAAATGGACTTCTAACGTGTATTGATTTGCTCCTTCTCTTTTGTCCATTGCGAAATCTACATCCAGTTGGGAAGACTTAGGCAAACTTTAATTTTCTCAAACGTTTACATCTATTATACCATTTTTACTTTGATATACTGCCCTGCAGGATCATGATTTCATTAGCATTGCCTTTGTTTTATCTTACTAAGCTGTTGTTAATAGTTTTGACAATGAAATATGAGACAAATTTATCTCTTGTTTCGGTTGCCTTAGTTTTTCCTCCGTCTTTTCAAATTAATTCTACCGGCCTTGTGCTTCGTGGGAGACACACTGTTCACTGCACCTGCGGCATACCGTGTAAACTCAGTTCATTCGACGGCCAAAGTAACCTTGTTTATGATTTCAGTGATTCATTAGGCACTTGCCTCTCGTTGAACGTTGAGGAAAGAAAAATTTAAAGAAGTAACCGCCTGACAGTATTTCTACCATGAGGAGATCGAACTAGTTCGTAGACCTTCCCTCAAACTAACTCTTTGGAAAAATTCAGATTGAAGGTTTTCATTTCATTTTATTGAGATAAATTTTCCCAGAAACGACGCATGAAGTTTGGTCGACTATCTTTTGTGTATCCATACAAAACTTTGATTCTATTTTATCTGCAGACGAAACAGAATAGCGATGTTATCAATGTTGTCAGCTTGTATCCTATTGGTTACTTCCATAACCGTGTTCTCCATGACGTCAGCAGCTACCATTGCTTCCTCTTCTGGTAATGCTAATTCTTGTCATGAAATAGC